CGGGGAAGCTATGAATACAATGCCGATTATGTTTCACGTATTCATTACTCTCTATTGTATTCATTTGCTTATCTTCTACTGTCATCTGAACACCGATTTAAGTAAATATGCGTTAATTATTGTATATTTTGTATCATTTATTAACTTTTAATTTATTAATTTCAGAGCGTTTTCCTCGACTCCGACGCGCGATAACTAATAAGCGATAAAATATTGTATCAATTTTTGTCATTCACTTTATTTATACACTTTTTTCCATTCAATTCAAAACATATTGTGTTTCATTTTTATTAAAAACCAAATGAATGTTCATTTAGTTGTCAAGTATTTCATGTGTTTCTAAATTAAAATGACATTTTATTTGTAAAATTTATTGATTTATTAATTGAATAATGAATAAGAAAAACAATGTTTTAGTCAACAAATTTTATTAGCAATTTTTAATAACAAATATGAACATTAAATTAAAACTAAATATAATTAATAAATTGCAGTTGAAAACAGACAAATAATACAGAAAATAGTGTTATAATTGTATTTCAATAGTAATACTTTATATAATGAGTATTTTTGATGAGTCTTTTGGATGACAACCAAAACACAATTAAGAGTCGACCGAAGACCGCAATAACAGGCAAATGGCCGCTAATATGCAAAGCCATGGATCACTTATCGCTCGCGTGGATTCGGATGGAGTGGTCGCACAGCCGAGGAAGTCTTTGTCAAAGTTAACATTTTTCTGTAATTTTAAAAACACAACAGTTATGTAATGCAATCACATCCCACCCATTATAACAGTTTAAATACCTCTTCAGTGAATTTATTCAACGTTGCGTTGAAACTCAATATCTGGTGTTTCTTGGGATGAGATGACACGAGAAGAGCGTACACATGGCTATTGAAACGGAAGAATCCCGCATAAGGAGGGCCTTCGAGTGCTGTTTCGGGCATCACTTGATTCGATGGATCAATTGAGACAAAGTATAGACGCTGTTCGGGCTGTTTGTACACCAAGAAAATGATCACTTGATTCTGTTCGTCAAAAGCCGAGGCCAAGTATCGGTTGTCTTGAGTTGTAGTCATTGGCCACACATTGGGCACCACTTGAATGGGTCCCTCCAGTGACATGTTGTAAGGCATCGGCCACTTATTAGGGGCGGGAACGAGTCCAAAGTCGGGGCCCAACCTATAGGCCACATATGACTGGAGAGGAGTGGACGCGATGTCGCCGATCACAAAACCAGTGTTCAAGAGTTTGGCGCAATCCACGGATGCCTTGCATTTATCCGATACTTTGGTCACCAAAAATCCCGTCTCTATTCTCTGAAACTCTATGAATGAAAACATAATTCAGTTAATAATAGACTAATGAATTGATTGAATGGTCACAGACTTGGCTGGAAGTGGACGCTATGGTCGACGCCTTTAGTTCCCGCGAACTTCTTGTCCACCGATTGCTTGTAATATAACGACTCCTTTTTGATGTAATTGGTGTCAGACATGAAGAATATCTTCTGTATATCGTGTGAATCGGAACAGAAGTCTTGACCATTGGATACAAATAAGTCACAAACAAAGAGATAAAATACACAAAAGGTCTTCATTTTCATGGATTCAGTTGACTGTCAGTGAAGTGTTGGCACTATTTATGTCTCAATTCATACACTTTTGTCGTTATTTTCAATTCAATCAATGATTCTCTGTTATAATGGTATGAATTGTGTTATAGTTTTCGAATACAGTCTACAATAGCTTCAAATGCGAGACACAGCAATAATGGAAGTTTTTGTACAGTGTATAGCACGCAAACAACCATGGTCAATCGCGTGCCTAATTAATGCTATTTATACTACACAACAATTAAACTGAAATGTTAATTAACTAATAATTAACTAACATTTTTTTGCTATAATTTTTTACCACATAAATTATATGGGAATAAATCGTATTTTTACCACAAATCAAATCAGTCTTCAAAAGGGTTTCAAAACTTTACAAAATTGTTAATTAAATGATTATCAGAAACTTTTTCAGTAATTTTAAAATGCATTTTATTTTCAAAATTGATTAAACTTGAAAACTTGAAAATGATTCACAATTTGTCAGTAATTAAATCAATGATTGGACGACGAGATGAGTGACAATGAAAGGCAAGCAGTGGTTGAGGCGAAAGAGTGTCGTCTCTGTCACGACAGTGGGGGCGACGCCGAAGACCTACTGAGTCCGTGTCAGTGCTCCGGGACTATGAAATACATACACAGAGAGTGTGTCAAGCAATGGATGTTCACTTCGGGACAACTTTACAAGTGTTCTGTCTGTAAGAGTCGATACAAGTTTAGGGTTAGAGTGGATCGGCTATCACTCGACCAGTATCTCCAGCACAACGGCCACCGTTTAACCGCTTTTCTTGTGATCGTTTTGTATATCACTTTTCTGATCACCAAATGTTTGAATCAAATGACTGACAAACAGATGGAGAGCGTATGGATTGACAGAATACCGATTGTGTCCTATGTTTTTGGCTGTTGTCGACCGGCTTTCAGACGTCTCTGTGTCTCAATTATCTATAAAGTAATCATTTATAGCCATTCGTTGAATTTGTTGGTCGTTTGGACACTATTTGTCCAAATTTGTTATTACATGTGGAGAACACAATTCAATGACATCCATATCGTTGATTAAAATGCAAATCAAGTTTGAGTTTTAAAGTTATATTTTTTAATTGAATAGATGTGTGTATTTTCTTTAATCTAAACCACTGTTTTATACTACATATTATTACTGTACATATTATTTACAGAAATAATTTAATTAATTTATAAATTATAAAACTGCTCAATAAATTGAGCGCATTTATAGCCAACGAGTATCGCCGCGGAGGCGGTGTTAGCGTTGGGTATGACTGGAAATACAGAGGCGTCGCAAACCCTCAGATTTGCCGCCCCCTTAACCCTTAACTGAGGGTCGACCACAACATCCGGCCTCTCTATCGCTCCCATACGACATGTGCCCGATGGATGGGCGCCCGACACCGTATTATACTCAATAAAACACTCCAATCCGTCCATACATTCATACAAATATTGTTTATCCGGACAGTCGGGACATCCGATGGCCGAAAATGGTGGCAATGGCTGTATATAGTGGGCCAGTTGTGTCCGTTCGTGTAAATAAAACATGATGGTCACCGCTTCTAACATGTTCGCTTTGTCTGCCGTATTTGAATACCAATTGGGATCCATTAGTGGCGGCAACAAGGGATCAGTCGACTGCAACTTTATTGTACCCCTACTCGTAGACTTCACTAAAGCTATTCCAGTAAGAACTGAAGTGGTATTTTGTCGCAAAATTTGAATCTCAACGTTTGGCCACTCTTTGTCTCGGTTTGAACGTGTGCTCACATATGAAGTCATCAATGGTAGCGATGCCAACTGTCCACCGGAATTATAATATAGCTGGCTCAATTGTTGAACATTTATTTTAGGTGTTGTGTTAATTAATGATAAATATTGGGGCTTCAGTACTGGATATAGATTGATACCAGGGTGATTTTGAAAATTCAGTCCCACCGGTAGGTCCAATACAACAGGTATTTTAAAACGTTTCAAATGCTGTTTAGGACCGATGCCTGAGAGCAGCAATAATTGCGGGCTTTGAATGGCACCTAAATCATGGTAATGGTAATCAATTAACTAATTATCTATCAATCAATTGTCTTAAATTTAATTTATTGTTATAGTATTTACCGCCGGAAACAATGACTTCTTTGTTGGCGTAAACCGTATACGAGATGTCATTCACTATAAACTCGACGCCAATGGCTGTCAACCCATTGAACAGTATTTTAGTGACCAATGCTTTACAAACTATTTGCAAATTATCCGGATGTGGGTTCGGGTCCACAAATGTATTACCCGTTCCCGCTCTCAGTCCCGACGAGTTTACGAACGATTGGGTTATTGCATATCCCGTCTGATTCGGACCATTGATGTCGGTTTCCTTATATCCCAATTCATTAAATGCATTAAAATATTTATAATACATTGCATCAGGGTTGTTTGGTGTAGAGATCTGAATGGGTCCACGAGTGCCGTGATATTCGGGTTCGTTGTGTACTATAATAGGGTTAGTATTGTTTTCCCACTCCCTGAACACTGGCAACACATCTCCATAACTCCAACCGACGGCACCGTATGTATTGGCCCACTCGTCATAACCCCTGCTATTACCCCGATTGAAGCACAAGCCGTTGTGCGCTGAACTTCCACCTAGAGTTTTGCCTGTATTTTCAGGAACTCTTCCACCGGCAAACTGTTTGCCATAGTTTTTGTTTGGCTGATAATAATAATACCAATTGAGTGCTGTTATAGCCGTAACGTTCCAATACATGGCCGGTATATCATTATAAACAGCACTTTGTGGTCCGCCCGACTCCAACACTATGACCTTTATTGATTTATTAAGACTTAGTTTGTTGGCCACAATCGCACCGGCAGTGCCGCCGCCGACAACTATGAAGTCGTATGTTGTGTCCCATTGAGTGGCGGAACAGGTGTTGTCGTGTATGACCTGACGTTGGGCTGTAATCCAAGCGACGGCCAGTAGTTTGTACGCAAACGGAGTGATCAGCATATTATCATATTCTATGTGTTATTCAATTTGATTAAATAATTGTATATAACGTTTAGCGTAAGGATGCAACTTTATTACAATTGTACCATATACAATTCTTTTAATAGTAGTGGTAAATTAGTGCAAAAGTGACACTTGATCAGAATTTTATTTATAAATTTTAATATCTCTATTTTAAAAATTTAATATGTTCCATTTTTAAATAATAAAAAACATGTAGCATAAAGTAAAATGAACTACAGTTCAACTACAGTTCAATGAACTACAGTTAAGTCTCGTTATTAATCACAGATTCTATTAATTTAATAATTATAATTACACACTATCATATAAGTCAATAATTGATTGAACACATGATCACACTATTAGTCACGCCTTTCAACGCCGACCACCACATCGTCGGGAACTGATATACGAAACCCGCGTTTAAAGCCGAGGGGAACAGCCGTTTGGGGCACACGTGTGAACCGGAATCGGCGCATAACATGAGCCACAGCTATCTTGGCCTCCAGGAGCGCAAAACGCATACCAATGCAATTGCGAGGGCCGGCGCCAAACGGCACGTACGTATAGGGCACTAATTTGTGACGATTTTCGGGCATAAAACGATCAGGATCGAACCGAAACGGATCCGGGTAGTACTCTTCACGTGTGTGGACGGCGTAGACACCGATCTGTACGGTCTGTCCCTTGTATAGAGTGAGACCCGTGTCGCCCAACTTATAGTCAGCGGCGGCCACGCGATGCAGCCGTAGGGATGGCGGGTGTAGTCGAAGTGTCTCCGATAGGACTGAGTCTAAGTACGGAAGTCTCGCCAACTCTTCGTAACTGATGTCACCGTTCGCGTCGACAGCGGCGCAGATCTCGGCGTAAAGCGAGTCCTGGATGTGAGGATTGATCGCCAGTTCGTACGTTAAGAACGTTAAGGTTGTGGCCGTTGTCTCAAAGCCGGCTAAGAAGAACACCAACGCCTGCGCCAGTATCTCATCTTCGGTCAGCCTTTTGTTCACCACATTTATGGAGAGTGTCTTTCTCTCCACAGCCAACTCTTCGGAGCCTTTTTGTAATTTAAAATTATATTTTTAGTTTAGTTGTGTTTTTTCTGTTTTGCTACTATTTTTATCATAATTATTGTTACCTTCATTTATGTGGTGAGATTCGTTGACATCCAACTCATCCTTAATGTCTTCCTCCGAGTCTTTCTCGCTTTCGCACAGGAGTTGCAGAAAGTCATTGGATTTGTGGCCACTTTTCTGCCTCTCGTGAATCAATCTTCTGGTGCTGTCCATAAAGAAAAAGCCGGCGCCCGAAGACGGGGCCGGTCTTAGTTTAGCCATCAGTTTCAACAAAAACACCGGACACGACAGGGTTAGGGCCGTCTTGAGTGGCCGTACAGTAAACGCCGATTTGGCCATCAATACAAACGGGTTGTCTCGGGTATAGTCGGCACATGTCTTGGTGGCGAAGGCACACGTGGCGATCACATCCATAGTGTAGCGGCCAAACAGGTCTTTAGCATTCATTGACTGGCCATCGGTGGCCATTGTGTCCAATACGGTGATCAACTGTGACAAACACTCCTGAATCCTGGGGTACATGCGTTTCATTTTACCCGAAGTGAACGTCGGGCTCACAATAGATCGAACCCGTTTCCAGTCATCGCCGGTTAGTTGGACCAGATTTCGGCTCATAATCTTGTCGTGACTTTGGCTAATGTTGGCCCTCTCGGGGAACAGGTGAAAGTCCTTAACCAGGATTGTTTTGATTAGCTCCGGGTCCGCTACTGTCAGCATCGGTTCCTCTTTTAAGTATATGCTTTTGTTATAAATGTAAACATTTTAGTGTATAGTTTGGGAAAATTGATTCGGGTTTATCTCATAATTACCCGTATATTTTACCATAACGTTTGGCCCAATTGAGCTCTTGTAGGGGTTGTGGAGTTGTAAAGAGTTGCAAAATGTTGCCCACTATAGGCCATGGTTTAGGCCCTTTGACGCCCCGTTTGGACCAATAGTTAAAATTACGAGTTAAATACCTTTTTACATTTATGTTAATTAATAAAACAATTATAGTTTTTGCAAATATTTATCTTACCAATAAAGTACACCAATTGATAACAATGCTATTGTTATCAACAAATCCATAGTTTGGTTCACTTTGTTTTACAATTAATTTTTAAACTATTATTAATAGTCTATTAAAAACTTCAAGCATTTATTCAACGACTATTAAATAAAATTAAAATGTAGTTTTAATTTATACTTTAAAACATTTGAACTGATTTTACCATTTAAGTGGTGTATGCAATTACTATATTTCACATCATATAATATGTTCCAAGTTGATACAGTTAATTCATCTTGTAGAGCTAGGTGCATTTCTGTCATTTTTAAGCATAAATGAGAATTTTAAGTATTTTCAGTCCATACAAACAGAACAATTATTTATCGCTAAAAACCAGTTATGATTAGATTATAAGTGCATTCGTTATGATTTTGGTATATAATATACAAATACTTACATAATTATAATAATTCCTTAAATAACAAATCTAATATGATAAAACATTGAATGAATTAACAATTATTCTTGGTTTTGTGCTTGGTAAGTTTATTTCTAACAAACATCAAATAAAAATTAAATTATCATCATTACGTAGTTAATTGTAATAATAAAATAACTTTACATTACATAAAACTGTAGAGAGAGAGAGAGAGGTTCGGGAAAGTCGTTGTCGAAGTAGGCGCCCCGTGAGTAGAGACTGTGCCACCGATGAGACCGCAGATCAAAGCGATGGACAGACATACTGTAAAGCCAACCGGTTGTGCCGCCGCACACGTATATACTGTCACCGTTGGGGTCGACGGCCAACGCCTGGCCGTACTGCTCGATCGGGGCGTCCGTATCGTCACTATTGGTCACACACTTCCACTCACCCGAAGACAGGTTGCAGACCGACAGGCGATTGCTGGACGACTCGCCGAACGGAAAGCCAGTGCCGCCGAAGACAAACAGATATCGCGTGTCGACGAGTGCCGCGCAATGCGAGGCCAACTCGTCGGGCGCCTGTCCTCTCAGCTCCACTCGTGTCCACTCGCGGGTCACGTATGAGAAGCGCCACAACTCTTTGAACAGCGGCCGACCCGACCACCAGTGATGTTGTGGATGCGGTGCAAGTGGCAACTCTTCGTCGCCCTCCTCTTCCTCGGCCTCCACTTCCTCTTCGTCTGAGTCGATGTCTTCGTAGTCGTCGTCG